GCTCTGCCTCGTCTTTCATTGGGTCAAAAAGGGCAGCAATCAATTGACGATTCTCCTCGGGGTGACATGCAAGCTGTTGAAGCCACTTGAGCCTCCTCACCCGCAGCTCAAGATGTGACGGGATGAGACCAATGCGTGTCAGATGTCTTCCGTCGAGCGCGAGACATGCTTGGTACTTCCATGCCGGGTTGGCAAATTTCAGCACCGCATCCCCCTTCAGAATTACCCTTCCCCACTGCAAAACCAAACCTTTGATCATCCTAATGTCGCCATGCATCGGAATGAAGGCCTCAAGACCGCTCAGCCCCGCAGCCAGGACACGCGCTTGAAAGACTGAAAGCTGGATCTTAGGGCGGGCATGGCCGACGAATCAGAATCGACCCATGGAGTACCAAGCCGTGCGCATGTTTTTCTGGATGCACTGGCGTTGCTGCGCTGTCATACCGTTGCCATGAAACTGAGCCCCAAGGTAAGTTGCATGAGTTGCCACCTTGCCCGCAACCCCAGTCCCAGGATGCGAACATTTCCGGGATTGATGTACAGCATTGCCGCCTACAAACTTGGGGACAGTACCTTGCTTCTTAGCATGTAGATCTCCGCCGACCCCTTGACGATGTCGTGCAATACTTGTAGTAGCTTCCTCGACAGTACATGCAAGCTGTGTAGCAGTGTTACCAGTGACCTTATCTGCTGTATCATCCATGAGCACCATGGTGGGAAGGTCAGTTTCGAGGGTGTCGACCTGGTTGATAGGGCTGGCGCACATGGGGTCACTGCCACTGTCACTGCGCCTACGCTCAGCAAGCCAAGGCACGAGAGCTTCGCGATCAAAGCCTCTGGCACATTTGCCAAGGCAGCCTGGTGATCCGGAAGTGCACCTTGCCGTACTAACGAGTGGCCTCGACCGTCCGAGCAGACCAGCGTATTGTGACTCGGATGGCTGCACTGCCGACCAAAGAGCATGTTATATGGGTTCATGTGGATCATGTCCGTGTCGTCATGAGCCCGAGTGTCCAAGCTGCCCGAAGCGTTAGATTGGTCATACAAAAGGATGTCGTGTGTCTTTTTGAGTCTTGGCAAGCGCCATGAAGTGATACGCTGTGTCTTGATAGCACTCTCACGCCGTCTACGGTGGAGACCACCATTTAGGTAGTCCGCAATGCTGCGCTCAGGGTAGCATTCGTCACCTCGTAGCCCAATGTACCCGGAGTAGGCCTTGCTGAAGGGGCACATGCGATGCACGAGCCTGATGGCTTTCAGCCCCGTGGCCGATGTAGCCTGGGGTAGATTTTAGCCGCAAGACCTGTGCCAATCAAGAGGGGCCTGAGCACTTCCACGACTGTCTCACAAGATGCCGCGTACTCTGCGGAGTAACCATCTCATGTCAGGAATATCAGCTTCGAACTGGTCCTGCTTCTGTTCAGTGAACCTCCTGCCATTCCGATGCTTCGGTAAAACAAGTCATGCGAAAACAATCCTGAGGCAAGCTCCAAGGTGGCACACTTTTTCGATACTGGATCTTGAGAAGAGCCGTACAGACGCCGCGAATTTCTTTACCAATTTCATCTTTGAAACCTGGCGAGTAAAATCTATAGCCTCTGCCCTGGTCATGTCGATGCTCTGGCAACGTGGTAATGCCGACCTCAGTGGCACGCAAGCCACCGTCCCTGCCTTCCTGCCCAAGAAACTCATTCCACATGACAATCGTCGGGCGCATACTCACTGGATGGTTATAAGTCTCCTCCCAGGGCCAACGGTGGTGCACGCGAGTCGCCTACGTAATCTGTGTACGAGTGCCCACTTACTTGGTCGCCGATGACTCCATACGATGACGACATTGCTGATTGCGTTGATGTTTGATCTGCTGTGGTACTGCATACAAGCGCTGTTTGGGTACCTGTGAGTTTTTGATATGCATCACTCTGGGCAATAAAGGGGGGCCTCCGAAGTCAGTCGAGCCAGTTTTTTTCACGTAGGGCAAACCGCTGACGGAGGAGTTCGCGTTGTTCAGCACGTTTGGCTTCGAGATGATTGTCTGCTACTGTGTGGCGTGCAACGTAGGATAGTGCAATCTTCCTGATATCTCCTACGAGGGCTTCCCATGCACAATCAGGCGCTGCTTGGGCTCCCAGTCGAGACCATTCGGGGAACCGTTTAACACAGAGCTGCTCAACCTCCTCCAGGAACCGTTTTCTCCAGAGCCCCTCTGCAGCCCCCTGTACGAGCCAGTCGGGGTCCCAGAGCTCCTTTTTGGGGGTCCGCGTGTTCGGAAAGCTGAGGATGTAGTTCACCGAGACTTGCAGGGGCCAGTGGTCCCAGCGGCATGCCCTCGGGACCATCGGGAGCTTCCGTCCGAGCCGCTCAAGAGTGCGGCAACCCTGGACCGAGGCAAGCCAGCTCCGTGGAGCCGCCAAGTAGTCAATCCTGGAATTGGACGCTGAAGCATAATACGTATCGTGTCCCCCAAAGAACGAGTCACGAGGCAAATGCTGAATTACTCAAGGAATTCACGAATCTTTTTCAAGCAATAGTGCTCGGGCTCAGGGAACAGCTCGGCAATGGGATCAAATTCATCTGGGAAGTAAGCAGAAGCTGGAATATTAGATGTGTCATTCAATTCTCCTCCCAAAGCAATAGGGCAGCTCGCAGGCTGTTCCGCAGCAGCACTTGGCATCCATTGCACGAGCTCGTCCACAGTCTTCTGATGATTCAGGCGCTGCCTCGCAAGAGCTGGCCGCGGAGGGAAATAAAGAGCGATATAGAAAATCTGTAATCTCCCAGACTTAGAGACAGCAGCTCCTCCTCTACCTTGCAGGCGTTCGGAGCAAAAGGGTGAGTTTTCAAGGAGGCCCGCAGAGGAGAGGGACAGGGGGAAGGGGAGGACGGACGAGAAGGAGGGAGCACGAGCAGGAGGAGGATGAGGAGGAGAACGCGGCGGCACTGCGTGGGGAAGGAGGACGTGCCCTTAAGGGCTCGACGACTCTTCTCCAAGTCGACGGTGGTCAAGCGAGAGAATGTCTTGGTACATCAAGCCGCATCCAGAGACGTCGAGGTCGGTCCCGACGAGTCCAGGCACATCCAGCGATACCCATGCAAACACCTGGAGCAGATTCTGACAGCTTCAGCGCGAGTCGAGGAACAGCAGAAGTCGTCAAGCCCTCTGCGAGTTGGGATGGGAGGAAGAGCTGAGGAGCCCACGCCGCCGAGGCTTTTCAAGCACATTGCAGGCTGTGGAGGCACCGCCGCGCGCAGCCGACAGACGTGTGCGGTCGCACGCTCGGCCGTCGTGAGAATGGTGGGTGCGCAGGAGTGCTCGTGCCGAGTCTGGGCATTTGTACAGTCGGTCTGGATTGGCAGGTCGACCCTGCCAACTCCAGGGATACCCTTGTGTCCTGCGTCTCCCGACCCATGCCACCGGTATTCCTGCGGCAATGCGGCCCTCGGAGAGGTCTCGTGCCCTCTCGCGTGTCCTCTCCAAGCAAGCCGGACTGTGCGTCCGCTCTTGCACCGCGCCGAGACCCTTTTCTCGTCTTACCCGCGCTCCCCTCCCCCCTGCCGCTCGCTTCCTCCACCTCGCTGCCCGTCCTGCTTCCTTGCCGCCCGCCTTCTTTTCGACCTGGCCCAGGTGCTTCTCAAGCCCTCCCTCCTCCACGAGCTCTTTTCAAGGGAGGAAGAACCACCCCGACCCGATAATTGGCGTTTATTGAGCGGCCTTGGGCGCTTACTAAACAGCCCTGCCCTGTTCGATTCCTTCTCTGGGTGCGTTTGCCAAACGGCTTCGCGCGTCGGTGTGACTGTTCCGGGGGTGGATTTTCTGCTGTCCATCCTCTGCCCAGCCGTATCCCCCCCCCCCTCGCCGCGTCCCGATCTTGGGGCTCCCAGGGGGTGTCTTCTCCCCCGCCCACCGGGCAGGCTCTGGCGAACGAGCTCCGAGGCTGACACGCAGCCTTGGCCGATCCGCGCAGGCCGCGGGTCGGCGCGTCGGGGCCGCCTGCGGTCCGATCTCGTGCGAGCCGATTCGCCAGCTGGGGCCGCGACTCCGATTCCGATTCGATTCCCTTCGATGCGGGTCGATTCCATGCGATTCCATGCGATTCGATCCGATGCGATCCGATCCGATTCCGATCCGATTCCGTGCGATTCGATTCGCCAGCTGGGGGCGCGATTCCGATTCGGTTCGATCCGGGTCGACTCGCCCTCATCGGCCGGGGCCGACCGGGGCTGGGCGCGGCGAGCCGATTTCGATGCAGTTCGGGATGGCTCGCTGGCGATCAGGTCCGCTTCCGAGCCGATCCGAGGTCGGGATCCGATGCGGCTCGGGCCTGCCCCGTCCCCCCGCTGGGAGCCTTCCGCGTGTGCGTTCGTCCGACTGTCCGTCCCGTGCCCTTCGTCGGAAACTGGAACATACGCATTACCAGTGGCGGGTTGTTGTTTCAATCCCACGACTTTCTGAAGGTCGGGGACGACGTCGGGGTGGTGTGGTGTATACCTTTCCCCCGTTTTCCAATGGAAAAAACGACAAATGTATAGTCCAGGATCCCGTATACACCAGGATCCGCGTTCCCGTGCGAATTTCAGCGCAGGGTCGGAAAAAGCGTCGGTGTATAGAGTTCGTTTCCCTACTTCGGTAGCAAGTGATGGGAGCCTAGCATACCCTCGTAGTTCTGTCCTTAGAGCGCACTCGGCGTCGACTGGCGCGTGGCAGTCGATGCGGTGGCGCCGATTCAGCGCCGAGTCAGCGCGCCGCTTGGCGTCGGTTTCGCGTCCATCGGCGCCGATCAGCGTCGATACAGCGCCGATTCGCAAGGGCCAGCAAGATGGCATGTGAGGCTGCCGTGAGTTTCCGCATCCCCCCCCGCGCCAGAAGGCCGGGACATGCCCCCTGGCCGCCGGGCGTCTCGCGTGCTGGGGCTCGCCCGTGGCGGGTGTTTTTGGACTGGCCGGGTGCAGCGCCGCGCCGGCGTACCGTTGTCGAAGTTTCCTGGCTGCTTCTCGTTTTGTCTTCGGCAAAGCATCGGACGTTGTACAGTCAATCCGCCTAGTAAGGATGAGCAGCTTTCCAAGGCTACCCGTGCATCATTCCCTTTTGGCCCATTCTTGGCCGCTTTCGCTGGCCGCGCGGCGCTGGCAAAGTGTCGACATGGCCTTCCAAGGTCCTCGCATCCTTATCGCGCGTCCTTTATCATACGGGTTGACTGTATGCTTGAAGCGGTCCAGCAACTTGTCCGTGTCGCGGAAAACTTTGCGGATGCGGGAGGTTTTCCGCCGTCTTCGGCTTTTTGGGGGCCTTCACTGGGCCCCGGGGCTGTCAAAAACGGCTCAGGATAGGAAGCCAGTCCCGGGGAAAAGGTCGAGTCTTCGGTGGACCGCGTGCTGAGAAAATCAGGACGTCGCACGCAACCCGCCCGGAGTCCAGCAGCCTGGATCATCTCCTTATCCCTATGATTGGCATCACCTGATCGCGAATTGCAATCGCAAAGAGAGTCCCTCTAGGCCTCCCAGATGGGGTCCGAGTAGATGGGGTCGGCGGATCCGGCCGCATCGCCGATGCATCGACGATGCGGCTCGACGTGGGGCCCGATTTTCTCCACGCCGGTGTCGCCGATGCATCGCCGACGTCGCCGACGTGTCGCTGATGCATCGCCGATGCATCGGCGATGCGGCGCGATCCTCCGACCCCATCTGCTCGGACCCCACCCGGGAGGCCCCTCGCCCTTCAGTTTGTTCGGAGGGCGCATCCCCGGGAGCGTCAGCGCACCCGGGCCTGATGACTGTGAGGACAGGGGGCAGGGTCGAGGCTGGTCAGCTGTGGTGGGGGGTGGAAGACGAGAAAGGTCGGGAGGCACCTCGTGCCCTGCTCGGCCACAGCTCACAGGAGGAGGGGGAGGAGGAGGAGGCGGAGGCGGAGGCGGAGGCGGAGGCGGAGGCGGAGGAGGAGGAGGAGGAGCAGGAGGAGGAGGAGGAGGAGGAGGAGGAGGAGGAGGAGGAGGAGGAGGAGGAGGAGCAGGAGCAGGAGAGGGGAGGAGGAGGAGGAGGAGGAGGATGAGGAGGAGGAGGAGGAGGAGGAGGAGGAGGAGGAGGAGGAGGAGGATGAGGATGATGATGAGGAGGAGGAGGATGAGGGGGAGCAGGGGGAGGAGGAGGAGGAGGAGGGAGGGCAGCAGGGGGAGGAGGAGGAGGAGGAGGAGGAGGAGGAGGAGGAGGAGGAGGAGGAGGGAGGAGGAGGAGGAGGAGGAGGAGGGAGGAGGAGCAGGAGGAGGAGGAGGATGAGGAGGAGGAGGAGGAGGAGGAGGAGGAGGAGGTGGAGGAGGAGGAGGAGGAGGAGGAGGAGGAGGAGGAGAGGAGGAGGAGGAGGAGGAGGAGGAGGAGAGGAGGAGGAGGAGGAGGAGGAGGAGGAGGAGGAGGAGGAGGAGGAGGAGGAGGAGGAGGAGGAGGAGGAGGAGGAGGAGGAGGAGGAGGAGGAGGAGGAGGAGGAGGAGGAGGAGGAGGAGGAGGAGGAGGAGGAGGAGGAGGAGGGAGGCCCCCCGCGCGGGCCTGCCTGGCACAGGCGACCGCACGGCGACGCCAACCCTGCAGCTTGCGGGCTTCCTGGAGCTCCTGGCCCGCGTGTCGTACCGGGTGGCCAAGGCTGGCGGGGCCTGCTGCTGGGCGGATCGGTCGGGTGTTCGTAGAGGGGGGTCCCCAAAAAATGCACCACCACCACCACCACCACCACCACCTTCCTCACCCCCTCTCTCTCCCAGGAACGAGGAGAGGAAGAGGAGGGTAGAGGAGAGAGGAGGAATCGACGTGGTGGTGGTGTATATTCTTTGGGTCCCCAGTAGAGGGGGGGTGCTCCCAAGGTGGGCTACAAGAAAGAACCCCGGTGGATGCTCGCAGTTCCGTCTTCCAGGGGCCATTGAGACCGACTCTCCTCTGACCCCACCTTTGCCCCTGGCCCACCTTCACGTCCTCCCGAGCCGGCCGGCAGGGGGAGGGTTCCCAGCGCAAGCGGGGCTCAGCGAGAGCTCCGGATCCTTCAGGATCCCGCGGGGCCGGATTGCGGCTGCTGAGCCTCGTCTGGGAGCCGCTCTGGGCCCCACGGGTGGCCTTGCCTGGTGGCACCTGTGGGGCCTGAGCGCAGCCAAGAAACCTTGCCTCGCTCGGGTGTTTGCGTCTCCCTCGGCGGGGGGCCATGGAGGAGCTCCTCGGAACCTGCTGCGCAGAGGTCGACGCGCGAAGGCCGAGAGGTGCGCGGGGCACGGACGTCCGAGCCCGGCGGACCGCAGCGCAGCTGTGCTTGTCCGCTCTGGCCGAGCCGGGGCTTCCTGCGCTCCTCCGGGCCGGGGCGCTCCCGAGCGGGGCGGCGCTCCCGGGCTCGCCGGCGGGCCTCTCGGGCCCCCTGGGCGGGCGTCCTCTCTCGTCTCTGGCCCTCGGGCGCCCGCCCCGGCTGCCGGGGGTGGCCCCTCGCCGAGGGTGGCCCCAGCCCCTGCGGGGAGGCCCCAGGTGGCCTCGAGGTCG